CGTGACATTTATTTACGTGTCTGCCGAGTTCGGCCTACCGCTTCTCATGCGCTCATTTGCTCAGATGTTTCAATTAATAACTATATATAACTATTGCAAATGTTGTATTTTACTTCAGTTTGATCTATTTTACCAATCACCTTTTGGTTAGTCAATGGCTTCCTTATTGACTCCTGTACCTATACTTATTTTAAATTTCCAAATATGTCTTAAAATATAAATTATATTTTAAATCTATAATTAATACATAAAATCTATAACTTTTTGTTATAGCTTTCAAAATGGAGTAAAAGAAATTTAAATAATAAAAAAAATTAGAAATATTATATTACATGTAATTTACAAATATTTTTTATTTAAATGTAGGAGAATTTGTTAATTGCGTGTGCTGATGTAAACATAAGCTGACGTCTTAAAATGTTTCTTACATATACATATATGTAGATTGTCTGTGAGTGTACTACATCATATAATTGTAAGCATATCACTTGACTGCTCATCATGTGAAAAAAGAAATTGATGTTAGATAATAGTGTAGTGTTTCTGTTTGTAAATAAAAATTAAATTTTAACAACATATGGGGCATTCCATGCGAAGTGATCCAGTCCAAAAAAAATGTATTTTTTGATTGTGCTGAAATTTGCACAATCTATTGCCCTATTGACCATAATTATCCACACCAATTTTTTAGACATTTGTCCAACGCGTTGTCTACTTACAGGGATTTAAAATTTCGGCGTTGAGGCCGTCATGTTAAACTTCACACATCGATAATTTGTCGTAAACATTACCGATTTTAAATAATGACCAGTGATTTTTCAAGTATTTTTTACACCTTTTCGAGATATATTATGTATTATTAATAAAAAAGGTTAATTAATTGATATTTTTCAACATTAATAATAAATTCAAATTTTTCTTTAAGATCGGCATCTTTGATTTCAATAAAAAAAATGCCAAAAAAAAAGAATAAAATGTTGTCAACAAAAAAGTATAGGAAGTCGATGGAGAAATCACTCTTTAGTAAGTTACAATTTATTCTGTGTGCGAACTCATGATCCGTGCCGCCCGCGCCGCCACGGCGGGCCCCGCCGGCAAAACATAAGTAATTTCTTATACAGCCATTTATTTATTTCAAACAGTTATTTATAAATATTAAGCCAATATCAGAATTCTATAAAGGAATTTCTTTTATGGCTTTCTTTTGGCTTCAGATTTTTTTTAAGTTGCAACTTATTTAAACTGCATGCGACTTCCAACGCTCCATATTATATTATAATATGAGCAGTAAATTATGTTTAGATTAGATACTTATTGTCTCATTTATTTATAGAATTACGAGAATTTTCGAGACGAGACGAGATTCTCTTTTCGGGACGAGATTCTCGTTTCGTCTCGAAAGGTTTGACAAAGTCTCGTTTTGTTTAAATCTCGCCTCGTCTCGTCCGCGGCATTATTATATATTATTATTAAAATAATTAAAATCAAAAAATAATTTCTCAAATGGACATAAATCTTTGATCATGTGGCAGAAAATTGAAACATAAAGTAAGATCCCAATGATAAAAGTATGCGTGTCTTATATTTCAACATTTGTACGAATGGGAAGAAATGCGTGAAAAGACGATCAAAACGTATATTTGCAATAAAGAAAAAATGTTGGATGACATCCGGAAAAAATTGAACATAAATTCTATGTCAAAATTCATAATTATTTCGTTATAACAATTAGGCTAATTTTTTTCTTTGGAGTATGAGTCATTAGTAACTGTAATGTAAAATAATTCATTTATGTTACAAACATAAAGAAAACTTTTAAAAGCACCTGTAATATGAAATAATTGTTTTATTGTAAAAAAAAGAACTTTTAAAGAATCTTAAACTCTTTATAAAACAAGTATGATGGAAACAAAATTGAAAAGCAAAGTTCGAAGCTGATTTACCTTTCCGAGCACATCGAAATATAATGCACAATAACAACCAAAAATATCTGCGAGCTACGTGCGTTTTAGGGGAAAGGGGGGATAAGATGACGAAGTGGGAGTAAGATGACGAATTGCTAATTTTGCTAAACTATAATAACGAGTCGATGCTGAACTCATTAAAAGTTTTAGATAACATTGAATAATCTCTTGTAGTTTGATTTCAATCTGTTCACAAAAATAAATGATGTAATAAAAAATATGTTTTAAATGCACTCAACTCATATGTAATTTTTTGGTATTTGTTTGGAAGAAATGACATAATTGTAGTAAATATTTTCACTTTTTTTGTAAACTTACATGCAGTACAGGATAGGTAAGAATGTATAAAATAACATATATACCCCAGCATTTTTCATTTTTCGCATTGCAAAATTTTTATTAAATAAATAAATAAACACAATGACTGCGGATAAGATGACAAACGTTATGCGTGTACAAGTTAATGTAGGGTATCCGTAAATGCAGTTATAATTGTTAACGTGCATTGTAAATGTAACTGCGTCAAATTAGTCAGTTCTTTAATATTGTTTAAGTTATGTTAACTAATATTAATATTGTTAAGGTTATCTGTGTAAATAAATCTTACTATGTGCATTTCACTGATTTTTTCCTTTTTTCTTTTTCTTTTATTGCGTTAAAATATTATAATACCGAAACAGAATAAGAAATATATTACAATAAAATAAATCTTTTTATTCGTATAAAAGTTTTTACATTACATTTTTAACTTAAATTGACTTTTCTTTATTTTACTCACTACCAAAAGTCATCTTTTCTGCATATGAGGGCAAGATGACAAAAATAACACGTTTTTAAAAAATATAAATTTTGAAAATTTCTAATTTATTTAACAGTTTTTAAATTTTTACAGTTAATATAAAAGGGCTTTATTAGTAAATCTAAAAAAAAAGGTAACTATTTTTACATCATCACAGAAATTAGGAAAAATTGATAAACTTTAAGGTTGTCATCGTATCTCCCTTTCCCTTATATCTGTTACAAAAATAGGAAATGAACGGAATGTATTATATGACTGTTGCGAAAATATTTAATTCTTTGTGACACAGAAATAATAAATAAATAAAATATTCACTCTATGATTCTTCTGTTGTTATCCAATGCTGGCTTCTTCTCTCTCTCTCTCTCTCTCTCTCTCTCTCTCTCTCTCTCTCTCTCTTTCTCTCTCCCTTCCTTCCTTCCTTCCTTTTTTCCTTTTTCTCTTTTTATTTTTTTTGTCTACCTTTGTTGTTGCTTCTTCATAACTTGCTCCTGCATTTTCATTTGCAATCATATAATTTCATTTACAGTAATATTCCAATGCAGTAATATTCCAATGCACATGCATAAAAGAATACGTGTCCTTTATTTTTGTTTAGAAAACAACATATTACACATAAGGGTTCATCAAAATCGGAAGGCGATATTTTGATCACTTTTTCATTGTGTGAGTAAAAAAATTGAAAAAACAAAGAAATGGAAGCAAAAAAATTTAATAAAAGCTAATCAGTTTCGCAGTGTATGACAATTTAGGTTACTAACTGGACATCACAAACGTGCGCTATGCGCGTGCTTTAACATTATAGTGTTACTGTCATATACCTACTATCAATCTCTTGATACACATAACTGTTAAGTTATACCTGTTATGCTATGACAGCCGCTACGTGAAATAAGCGAGAGAACCAATTGTCATCGCGGAAAAGAGCCAACAATACGCTTTGAAACTTTTGAAAGAACTTCGATATATTCGAGTATCGATTTAACATGCCTGTTTTAGAAATCGATTGATGGATTTGGATATGTTTATGCGCGAAAAATCACAGTTACTTTGACGTTCTAATAAACAGAATATGTGTTGCCAAACAAAAGAAAGTGATACAAGTTAAAAGCAACACTGTGCTTTTGTGCGGTCAGTATAGACATAAAGATCTGTTATCGCAAGTTATTTGAAAAGGCTACAACGGGATTCTCTAAAATGGATATTTTACGACCTAATAAAGATCCACATTCTTTTGGGAAACCAGGTATTTTAATTATATATGCTCGCGCGCCTCCGCGTGTATCACGACATTTAATTGTACTCTGCGCACATTAAATCCTTGTAAATACGTGTACATCGCGACTCTGCACCTCGCGAGCATTTGTTACTGTAGAATAAACTTTTGTTATTTTGTTATCAAAGACGATACGCTTCATTCTACCAGCCCATGTCTCGCTTCTGTTTCTCCGCGCCTCCTTCGAACCCAGCCCCGCCGCGAGCTAGATCCGCGTATCAAAGTCAGGTTGTTTTAAGCGTAACGTAATCTTCAGCACGCCAATGACAAACTAAACTATTTTCACATGGCATTCGCATGTTTCTTAAAGTCATTCTAATAGCTTTGTTGAGATGCGATTTCTCTTTTGTGACACAAACACTTTTAAAAATGTTACGTGTCACGTATAGTCACGTGTCTAATGATAGAGTACTAGATAACTATTAAATGTAGATTTGTATGTGTATAGATTCATCCGTGTGCAGCTAATATCCCAGAAACTCTATCATTATTTTATAATATATATGTATGTCATCATGTTTTATCCATTTTTAAATATTGAAGAGTAGACGTAGATAATTTTTAATGTAAATAATCGACATGATTGACATACAAATGCAATAAATAAATATTAATACTGATCTATACTGACATAGTAAATTATTGATACAATATTATTACAATAGATAACTCCCTCACACTTTGTTTGTTTTATATTAGTAGCGCGTTGATTTTTTATTTATTTATATAAATATGTATATATTTTAATTTTTATTACCTATATAAATTGTAAGAAATACTCAAAATAAATCCAGACATTCGTTACTATAGATTGCATGTCTCTCATTTTTGCTGATTGGGAAAACTGTACGTGTCTATAAAGTAGAATTTCATACATTCCCTAATTATCATGAAGATATCATGTTACGTCACGTACTCAACTGTCACGCTACATTCTCCATTGCCGCTTCGCCACTGATACAGCTTAAAAGGTCTATGCCTGCAGATCTCAATTAGTACTGTCCAAGACATCAGGCTGATCGTGAGACGTTCAAAATCCTTTCAAATACGTGTAGCACGTATATCCGAGGTATATGGAATTTATAAGTTGTATATTTCATTTGCTATCATTAAAATGATCATACTTTAGTCTAACAATCGTGCAAGACAAGTTACTTGGCTTGCAAAGAATTAAGTATTGGGCACGCAATCATTTTTCGACTACGTTCAACTACACATTGTAATGCATTATTTGGAAGATTTCGCATAAACAAGTTAATATAATATTGCATTTGAGCGACCGCCGAACGGAGAGTTTTGAAGCAGGCAAAAGACTTTGAATCGTTGGCTCGTTCGTACCGGGAGAACTGACGATCTTTGATAAAATCTCGTGTCGAGCGTTTTAAGATTGAAAATCGTTTGCGTGCGGTAACACTGAGGGTTCTATATGATTTTGTAAGCTGACCCCCGTATCATTCTCGCGATCGTCCTCGGCCTCGCGACCAAGATCTCCGATTGCAAGATCTTCGATTTTTTCATCCGATTCACGGAACGGTTTTGTCAGAAGGACGAAAATCTCCGCGTGTACGCGAATTGCTCCGAGCGTCGCCTGGATATGTATTTTATTATATAGGTATATAAAATAACGACATATGATTGAGGAAATATGGAGTGTTACGTTACAGTTTTATATCTGTTCGGGAGCCGATCTCGACGAGATCGTCCCGGATTGAAAGGCCGGGATACGCTCAGAGATGAGCGCGAAGACAGTCGGTACATATACATATATACATATATGTGTGTGTGTATGTACATACGTATAGAATCTGCTGTAATCTCTTTGTATTATGAAGGAATAAAACACACCTATCTCGCAAAGCTTTTCAGATCAATGCTATTTTAGCGCAGGATCAAATAAATAAAAGCAATAAATGTTGTTACATATTTATGTATTGAAATTACGCAAGTTGAACAATTTTCACGCGGTCTTCACTCAGTCACACATCTTGCTATATACACCTATATACCTGTATACGTATAAATAAAAAATATATCCAGTTTTGCTATACGATATACAATGTAGTAGTGTAGTTATACGATTCTGTCAACATTGTTATTGCTTTCACTTCCATAGGAGTTCAAATTCAAAGTGGCTGGATATAAAACTAGTATCGATGGCTTCGATAAAACTAGTATCGTTCGAGGAGGAACTGAAAAAAAATCCTGAATTGAAAGAGGCAGATATTCAAATGTTGAGAGAGTGGTGCGAAAAACAGCCTCACTTGCCCAATATATCAGACAGCGAATTAGCATTGTTCTTGCATAGCAATTATTATCGACTCGAACCAACAAAAACTACTATCGATGCTTTTTACACAGTTAGGACTCACGTACCTGAGTTCTTCTCCAATCGAGATCCTAATAACAATAAGGAACTCAAAAAAGCAACTGAAACGGTGTAAGTATATTATTTATAATCTTTTTATTTTTAATTATTTGTTATATTTGTGTGTGTGTGTGTGTGTGTGTGTGTGTGTGTGTGTGTGTGTGTGT